ACACCGAGTAGATATTTCCAAAGTCGGACAAAAATCGAATACCCGTTTCCAAGTTTCTAGTTGCTGTGTTACAGATATCTGTACTTTTTTTTATTTATTAAACGGACTTGTATAGTGTTAGGCAAACTATTTTGGAAGTATTATCTCGTAAAACGGAGTTTAAAACGGGTTGTGTTTTTTTAGAGAACTTTGTCGGCGGCTAGTTTTTTAAAAACTTTATTAATTACACTATTAGGTCTACAGACTTCAATTGCAGACTTAGTTGGCTGACTTCGTGTGCAGACTTCTTCGTAAGTCTTCATAAGTAGACTTCTTGAATATTTGACTTCGTTTTGCAGACGTCAGAACAGCCAATGGAAAACCCAAAGTTCCCCCCGCGTCTCTTCTCGAAAGGCGATGAGCCGTCTCCGCTGAAAAGCATCAGTTACTATAGCGGTGAGACGAAGCTGATGACCGCACTCGAGGAAGCACTCACACAAGATGAGTGGGCAGAGATATTGAACTCTAAACTGGGAGTGTTCTTGAAGTTCAGTAAGCTGGATTTCGGCTGGGCATCTAGACTGGTGCATTACATTCTCGGCATGCAGCTAGTTTGCAAGAAAAAATTTGAGATTTGGAGCCTCGTAGGTCTAATCCCGATCTGCTTTTCTTTGAATGAGTTCGAACATATTACTGGTTTGAATTGCATGTACGTGGACAACCTCGAGGATCCGGTGGTTGAGATAACTGAGGAGATGCAAGATTTCTGGGAGCGATTTGGAGTCAATCAGGATTTGGGCCCGAGCACTGAAGATTTGATAGAAGCTTGTAAGGAATGCGGGTCGTGGTCTTCCGAGGATCGGTTGAGGCTGGGATACCTTAGCATTTATACTAGTTACATTGAAGCACGAAATCCATCTTCAGCTACTCGGGCTAGGTTGGCAAGGCTTGTGATGGATTTAGATGCGTTTGAAAACTACCCTTGGGGAAGAGTGGCCTTCAAAAACCTGATGCGGTCGGTGAAGGAGAAAGAAATTTGAAAGTCGTCGTACACCATTGAGGGGTTTGTTCAAGTACTACAAGTCTGGGTTTACTTTGCTCTTCCCGACTTTGCTGCTAAATTTTGTGAACCACTTCCAAACGACCCCAAGGTACCGCTGATAGCTTACAAGGGATCCAGGGGAGGAAATTTATGAAAGAGAATATGCTCCGACAGGTAAGTAGTCTGAATTCATACTTGGTTGACTATTATATCGGCAGACTTATTTAGTAGACTTCTAGTGCAGACGTCTGTAATATACAGCAGACTTCCTTAGTAGATTTCTAATGCAGACTTTGTTGGTAGACTTCTACATTATACGTTATATAACACAGTTTTGATTTCCATGTAGACACGCATTAACAACTACGTTGTTAAGGAATTCTTCGACATGTTTCCGCGCTGGGAAGTTGAAGACAATGATGAAGAAGACGCGAGGACTGACAACATCATCAAAGCGATGTATGGTCATTTTGGCCCTAAACAATGGACATGGGAAAGGAGTCATTGGCCTCCAACAGGTGTGACCAAGTATGTCAAGTCTGAAGGGTCCGTCGATCTGAAGAGGCGATCGGAATCAGTTGGTGATCAAGGAAGTCGAAAGCGGTTCTGCCCAGCCTCTGGTGATGAAGATGAGTCAATGGTCACGATTCTGAAGGACCACATGGACGACTGCTTCAACAAGATGATGGATGGGTTGAGTAGTTGTGAATCTCAGATCAAACTACTCAACACAAAGTTGGGAATGGTGGAGCAGAAATTAGAGGCAGTGATCCTCCAAGCTGGGACCGGAGGTACAAAGGAGGATGTGGCTCAGACTGGTGAAGCAGCTGCCGAGGGCGCAAAACCTGTTGGCGACGATCAAACGGATGCGGACGCCGATCCTAATATCGGGGTTAGTGCAAAACCCGCTCCAAAGAAAAGAGGAAGGAAACCCCGGAAAAAAATAAAATTCCATATTTGTTTTCAAACTTCTCATCGAACCTTACCAATCTGTTTTAAAACCTTAGAAATCGAAAAATGTTGTCACCACTAAATATTTAATGCTTTTATTTGTACTCTTTAATGTTTGATGTTTGGTTTCGTTTCATTGATGTGTGTTTAAATCTTTATATTTGCAGAGTAATTTTATGTCTAAGCAAAATGAACAAACTGATGTCCCAAGTGAGAGCGTGAACGATGGTAAGCAGGGAACTCCAGAGCCAAGCGTCGTTATGGTTGATCCAGCAAAATGTGACATCGACTTCGATCAGGTCCAGAAAGATAAACACGAGAAAGGCAAGAAGGTGGCACAACTGGTTGCTCGTGCGAAGAGTGAACGTCTGCGAAAGTTGGCTCCTACACAACAAAGCCCTTTCAAACCCAACAGCACAGCGAAGGAAATAATCCCAAACAAAAATGTCCGAGGGTGCGGATATGATTCGTTTGATATGAAACACGTGAAGCAAAAGATCGGTGTGCTAACTGATTGTCTGAAAAAAAGATCCGTAAGTCTTTGTTTTAGAGTTATTATATCAGCAGACTTACGGATAGAAAGAGTAGTGGATGATATTGTAAAATGGTGGTGTTTTCAGGAACTATCCGAAGCGGATAAAATGGTCATCCACGGACTGGTACTTCATTCTAAGAATCCCAAAACAATGGCTAGCAGACACTGTAAGTTACGCGAGTGTATATATGATATGAACACAACATATTTCTCTCTGCTTGAATAATTGTTTTCATTGAATATGCAGCACATGGAAGCTGGGATTAACCTACTCAGGCTGCGATTTACAAAGCATCATGAGTGGTTTAGGTCGGACAGGATAACATTCCTCGACTCTTACTTTGCAACGATGTGGAGGCACAAGTACAAGGAGTTCGTGGACTCTCACGCCAACCCTGATGGTTCAGGCAAGCTCCTTCCAGCTGGCTCGTTTGAGTACTACACTGGCGCAGCGCCAACCTACTGCGTTAGTAACAAGACGTGGGGGTATGATGTGGATGACTTGTACTCGATGTTACACATCACTGAGGATCACTGGGCGTGGCAATGTGGATTTTGATTCCGATGAAGCATATTGTCATTTGGGATAGCCATGCGAATACTCATGCATCGGATATTCAGATTGAGGTTGCTGTGACTCCGATTACCATCTTGGTTCCCTACATACTCCGTGAATGTGCACCTGCTGAAGACCGTATCAATCTGACTTATGATCCATTCACGTGGGAGCGAATCAAGGGGCATTTGATCCCACAAAGCAAACAAAGCGGTGACTGTGGCGTTTACTGCTTGAAGTACCTTGAATGCCATGCTCTAGGGATGCCATTTCCTAAGACCTTGTGCGATGCAAACATTAAAAACGTCCTAGACAAGCTGTCAGCTGAGATATTTGACGAGACAGGAGTAACCGGCACAGAGAAGTATGATTATCCATGGTTGGACGTATACGAAGGTAAGTGATATGTCCAACTATGTATATTCTGTACTGTTTGAGAAAGGACTCTCGTTGGGTATGGTATGGTTGGAAGTTTTTGGTTAACCTGCCAGAGTTGTTGTTCTCTTATTTAACTGTAATGTTCCTAACTAATTTTGGTTTATTTAGTAATATTTAAAACAATGGTGTGGTTGTATCTTTTGGGAGGTTAAACGCTTGTAATAGACTAGTGTGGCTTTTGTGATAATTCACGTACTCTAAGGTTTAGCCTAATCATAGCTTCTTATATCGCATAGTTTATGACAATAAGTAAGAATGATCGTACATAGACATGAAACAGACATATTTCAATAGTGTTTCCCTTACCTGGTGAAGCAGACTTCTTGTGCAGACTACAGTCGTAGACTTCTAGTTGTAGTCTTCAGTGTAAGTCTGCTATTATAGGTTTAGGGTTTTATCTTGACTTCCACGTCTGCAAAAAAACAAAGGAAATTAACTTCGACCAATGTAACCCTTAAAGTATGAGGTAACATAACACTTACACAATCCGGTCTAGTATGTCCTGGTTGGTGACATTTCGAACAACTGTACTGCTTGTGGATCTTACGGGGTTTCTTTTGCTTATGCCTCAAAATTTCCAGCCAAGTTTGCCATCTTGAATTCCTCTGCCTGCCTTTTTTACGTCGGACCTCCGGAGGTAGACATTGTGTTGTTTCATCGGTTTTCATTGCAATGCTTGGAGGATATATATTATGCGAGTACGCTGCATACAAGTAATATTTGGAGTATGTCGGGCATACAAGAGTGGCCAGATGCATATGCATTGAGCAAGGTATTTTCTCAATATCATACACGCCACACCCACACTTTCGAAGTTCCAAATCAACGACACAGTTATGTGATCCTCCTTTCACATTGAATCGCCAACCATCTATGCCTTCAACCGTCAAATTATCAGCATAATGTGAACGAATTGCCAACAAATATTCAACTCCTCGAGTATGTTTGGTTTGAAGACTCAAAGCATCTTCCCGCCTTATACAAAACCACTTTGTTAGCTTCGCCCGTAAGTACTCCAACAGGAATACTATGGGAAATCCCTGTGCCCGTTTGAGAGCAGAGTTGATAGACTCTACGATGTTGCTCGTCTTTATATTGTATCTATCACCTGGAAAGTGAACTCTTGACCACAACTGAATGCATGCCTCCTCCAGGTACGTTGCAAGGTCAGGTTTTATATGCCTTATCTCGTCCATATAACGGTTAAAATCATGTACCGTATATGCATACGCAACACGTTTGACTAAGTACATAAGATGCTTCCCCTTAAACTTAGTGACAATATTGTGTTGCAGATGATAATAGCATATACCGCGTGTTACCCATGGTAAAACAGTCTCACATGCCTTCTTAATGGAATGATGCCGGTCTGAAACTATTACCAACGGATACTCGTCTGTAAAACACTCCCGCAATTTTCTAAAAAACCATTCCCATGCGTGATCATTCTCAGGGTCCACTATTCCAAAAGCTAGTGGAAATATCTGGAAGTTACCATCTTATGCTGTGGCCACTAGCAGAGTCCCTTCATACTTTCCAGTCAGATGACACCCATCGACAACAATGACCCGTCTGAGATATTGAAAACCAGCTATGGAGGCTCTGAAGGCTAAGACTAGGTACTTGAACCTATTCTGACTGTCGCGTTCAAGGGCAGTTATAGTACCCGGATTTGCTTCAGCGATCAGATGCAAATAAGAAGGCAGTCGGCTATATCCATCCTCAGGGGTTCCCCTCACACATTCTTGTGCATACATCAAAGCTCTATACGAAGTTGTGTAGTCTATTTTCAGTCCAAATATCGCCTGCATTGAATCTTTGATGTGTTGTGCAGTAATCCCATCAATTATTCCCTCACGCTCTATAAATAACTTTCCAATGTATCTTGGAGTCGTATGCTTTCGGTGAGCCAACCGATCTGAAACAGAACAGGTATGAGTTTTGACATATTTAGTGACCCAAAACGTCTTTGCTTCGTTCTTTACAGGTGCTCTAACTCTCCATTGGCATCCTTTAACAGCACATTTAGCAACAAACAGACGTCTCGATGACTTATCAACTCTGAATGCAAACTTCAACATAACAGCCGTCAACCTGATCTCAAAAATCCGCTCGTCTTTTGTAGCAAAACTTCCGTTTACTTTTATTTTGTCAACCCAATTTCTTTCATATCCTCTTTGAGGAGCCTTCACCGTTTCTTCAATCCACTCACCCTCTGAATCAGAATTTGAATCTTCATCCTTCACTTTCCCATATTGCCTGTAGTCCGGATCCTCAGAGTCCTGATCCTCAGAGTCAGTACCGTCTTCCTCCTTTACTGGATCGTTTTTGATGTCCTCGTTTATCTCATCATCATCATACTCATCGACATTTTCATCATCACCTTCCTCAGTAGTTTGATTCCCACCTTCAACAGAACACCCATCAGCAGCATCAACACCACTAGTACGTCCATCATTGTCCTTGCGACTAGATATACAAAGACGTATAACATGCGTCTTACTCAACCTAATCAAGCTCTGTACTTGTCTATCATTAGTAATATGCATAGGAGGGGTATCTGGAGCCATGTTTGCTAACATTGAATCTGGCAATGCATAAGTGATAGACACGCTGTCCGTATTTCCATCCAGCATGTAATCATCTATAACCATAGCTACGAGTTCTCCATGTGTACAACCATCATTCAAGAAGAATAACCTCCCTCCTTTTGCGATTATCCACCTCAAAATGCCACGACTGAGCACCCATAACCCATTCTCCAAATATAACAGGCAACTGAGCCGCCATCTGCAAAAAAGGTAAACCACATAAGATAAACCGTGTTTTCCAAACTTCTAATTATGACACATATCAACGTGAAACTCACGTATATGGAACCAAAAAAGGCAGATCAACATGTGCAAACAAGATATTTATTTTAGCATATACCATTAATTCGAAAACAAATTTTTTGTTAAAATAATTAGGCAGACTTCAAGTGTTGTGTGCTGTGTTATTCTCCTTCGCCAGGCAGACTTCAGTGGCAGACTTCTGATATATCATGGTTTTTATGGTTTTTAACCATAGTATAAGTCTTATTTATAGAGTCTTTTTAGTGTCTTTCGAGTCTTTTGGAGTCTTTTCAGGTCATAGGTACGTTTGGAGCTTAACTGGAGACTTTGGAGCACTTTGGAGCTTAATCAGGATCAAATTCGTCAAGAATGGATTTTGTGCTTTAGTGACGCTCGACACCATGGAGAGTGACGCTCGACACTTGTTAGAGAAATAAGGAAAAGGCGATTTTGTTTCCTATTTGAAGAAGGAGTTGGGCCTAAACGTTTTCAAGGAAGCCCAAGACGTGTCTTAGAGATATATATAGGATTTTTATTCCCTTTTTACAATGACCTTAGATTTTTGAGAGAGAGATACTCTGACTTTTCGGCTTTTGCGATTTCTGAGCTTGGGGAGACAAGTCTGAACTCTATTCGTTTAGAGAGAAGATTTCGAACCCCTTTACGTATTTTGATTTAATCTATTGCTTTCTATTCATCATGTTTGTTGTTTTAATAACCATGTCTAAGTAGAACACCTGTTAGATTTAGGGTTTAATTAGGGTTTTCTGAATGTTTGATTAACTTGCTAGTTAGGGTTCATATCTATTTGTTCTTCACCTTAGGTTGTTCTTCAAGCTAATTCTAGACTGATCACCTAGAACTTAGATCTTAGGTTGCTTAATTGACACGGAAGTGTAATTGAATAACTGGAAAGAACCTAGGCTGAGCAAAGTAGCTATTCGCAAAGGAATTTGGTTTAGATACTTTGTGAACATATCAAACTTGTGCATTAAGGCTGGTTTAAATCTGTAGGATTTACAAAGGAATTTGGAATTCTAGGATTTTAACTTAGATAATTCTCACAACGGAAGTTGGTTAATTATAATTCTGTGTTTTGAGTTCAAGAACCGTGCTTAATAACTGAACCCTGATTAGTTAAGTTGATTTGCATTCATTGATCTCCTGAAAATCTCCCTAGACCTATCCTTTATCACATCGAATTTACAAACCGTTTTCATTGCATTGCTATTTGTTTCGCATTCTTCGGCTTAGCGTAACTCCATCTACACAAGGTTTATTGAGTGATTTCTCGTCTCTGTGGTTCGACCCCTACATACTACAACTGCACATCTGTGCTCTTGCAGAGTAGCTTAGGGATTAAACTTTGAGCAGATCAAGTTTTGGCCCCGTTGCCGGGGACTTGATTTCGCCATTAAACCTAGTTTTTGAGTTTCGACTAAGTTTTTTGACCTAGTGTCGAGCGACACCACAAGTGGTGTCGCGCGACACCTTTCTTTTTATAACCTAGTTTACTTATTTCGTTTTCTCTCTTTGTTTTTGGTGTTTCAGGTTTATGCATACTCGTGGAACCAGAAGCAACAAGGACATCCCGCTAGTGAAATTGAGCAACGATGAGCTAGCTGAGTTAGAGCGAACGAACAGGAAAGCAAGAGATCCGGCAATGATGGAAAACGCCAATGGACTTGTTCGTGACGATGATGGAATCTGGAGAGACCGAGAGGGTCATGTGTGCAATGCGAGAGGCCAAAGGCTTGATGGAGATGGCAACATCATTCCACCAGCACCTTTACCAGTGGATGTTGTTGACCAGAATCCACCACCTGCACCGCGTGGGAATGCTGTGATCGTTCCACAACAGAGGAACGTTCCAGAGGATCGGAATGTGAGGGAACCTGCACCTGCAGCTAGTCGTGGACGAACACTTGGACATTACAACAGGCCTGAGCAGTTCTATGCAAATCGTTCTGCGATTCGCGCCCCTGCGTTTCAAAGAAACGATTTTGAGCTGAAGCCTGTGTACTACACCCTTGTGGGTCAGCATCCTTTCCATGGCCACTCTCATGAGCACCCTATGGATCACATCGAGAGGTTTGAGGACTTGGTCACCAGCATCAAATACAATGGAGTGTCCAATGATTTCCTCCTCTGCAAGCTGTTTCCTTACTCTCTTGCTGGAGAAGCAGCTAACTGGTTGAAGCAGTTGGAGCCAGGATCACTCACTACTTGGGAAGAGACCAGGAATGCTTTCCTGCACAACTTCTTCGATGATGCCAGGTCTGAGGAGTTGAGGACGAAAATTTTGACTTTCTCTCAGGAACCAACTGAAGCGTTCAAAGCTTCTTGGGTGCGATTCAAATCGTACCAGCGAGACTGCCCCCATCATGGCTTCAGCGATGTGCAATTGTTGGGTATCTTTTTCAGAGGTATCGACTGGAGGTATCAGATGGCTCTTGATGCAGCGAGCAATGGAAACTTCAACACCAGATACCCAGACGAAGCTGTTGAGTTCATTGAAAACTTGGCATCTAGCAATAGTACCAAGAATGCAGACTATCAGCGAAGGAAGCAGGCTGGGAACATGGATGGATCGCAAATTGCTGAGGTGAAGGCTAAGCTTGACTCTGTGCATAGCCTTCTTGTGGGTAAGAAATCTGTCAGATACCCTGCAGGAGTTCAGAATTTCGGACCAGATGAAGCTTTTGAGGAAGAGGATGTTAACTTCATCAATGGAGCTGGATTTCAGGATCAGAGATTTGGTTATGGGCAAGGGAACACGAATTACAAAGGAAATAATCAGAAGAGTACCTTCACAGGTAATCAGAACTCTTCTGGTTACAGCTCCAAACCTCAGTACCAGACATCCTACTCCAACAACAGGTTTTCAAGAAACTATGGTTCTCCTCCTACTCAAACTCCAGATAATGAGGTGAAGTCTATGCTGGAACAGATCTTGGAAGGTCAGCAGAAGATGACTGTGGATTTCAATGGGAAGATTGATGCTCTGTATCTGGATCTGAATGGAAAAATTGAAGTTCTGAACACTCATGTCAAGAAGCTTGATACTCAGGTTGCTCAGACTGCAGAGTCTGTAAAAAGGCAAGAAGGATTCATTTCTGGGAAGACTGATACCAATCCTAGGCATTACTGCAGTGCCATCTCGTTAAGAAGTGGTAAAAAGTTGACTCCTGTGCTGGAAAAAGGGTGTTTCTGAGGATGAAATCGTGGAGTTGGACGAATCTGAAGAAAATTTTGAAGTTGCAGAGCCGGTGTCGAGCGACACCACTACCAGTGTCGCGCGTCACCAATTGCAGAGCAAAGCTGATATTGCTCAAAGTCCGAAATCTGCTGAAGAAAGAGTCTACAAACCTAAGGTTCCTTACCCAAGGAGTCGTAGGAAGTCCAAGCAGGAGATAGATGATGCCAGCTGCAAGGCTTTGATGGAGAAACTTGTGATTGAGATTCCTTTGGTTGATGCTGTGAAGATTGCTCCTACTCTCAGACACTATGTGAAGAAGATGGTGACTAATAATCTGAGTCATGAGGAAGGAGTGATGATGATCTCTGAACAGGTCAGTGCTGTGATTCAGAATAAGATTCCAGAGAAACTCTCGGACCAGGAAGCTTTGTTTTGGATTGCTCTATCTTCTCTGAGAGGTTCAAGAGATCGCTGTGTGATCTTGGTTCGAGTGTCAACCTAATGCCATACTCTGTAGCTGTTAGCCTTGGGATAACTGACTTCAAGCCAACTAAGATCTCTCTAATCCTAGCAGATCGATCTAAAAGAATCCCAAAAGGTGTCTTGGAAGATTTTCCGATTAAAGTTGGTGACTGCATAATTCCTACAGATTTCGTGGTTCTGGAATATGGAGAGGAACCCAAAGATCCTCTTATCCTGGGTAGGCCGTTTTTAGCTACAGCTGGAGCAGTAATTGATGTCAAGCATGGTAACCTTGATCTCCACCTGGGAGATACCATCATGACTTTCAAGATGGAGAAGCTGAAGGATCCCACCATAGATGGTCAGACATTCCAAGTCAGTGCAATACCTGAAGTGATAGTTGGAGATCAGAACGTGTTTGATGCTGAGAAGGTGAGAGATCAACCTGAGTTGACGAAAACGTCTACAGAACCAGTGACTGCTGTTGATCAGGAAGCTCCAAACATTGCACTCCATCCATCTCCACCAAAGCAAAGGTACGCATTTCTTGAGCCTAATCATAATTCTTGCGATATCATCAAAACTGATTTGAAAGATGCAGATTCGGTCTCTCGACGCAAGCTACGAGATTATCGTAGAAACACTTGGTTTTTCTATTGATGATATTGCAGGGAATAAGTTGAAGCCACCCAAACACAGATCTCACCCTGGTGTTATTCCTGCATTCCTTGGACGACCTCATGCGCACAACGCTTACACACCACCATGGATGAGACGAATTTCACAGAGGCACTCTTTGCCACTGTCTGATCCACCAAATGCATAGTCTATCCATAGTCAAGCTAATGACTTAAAACAAGCGCTTAGTGGAAGGCAATCCACTGGTGAGTCTGTACATAAGTCTTTTTGTTTCAGTTGATTTTCGTTTTTCTTTTCGTGTTTTAGGTGAAGCAGAGGCTGGTGTCGAGCGACACCACCTTCGGTGTCGCCTGTCATTTGCTATTTATCAAAAAAAAAAAAAAATTAGGAAATCAGGAAACCGGATTCAAACCAGAAATTCAGATTAGTCTGCTGCAATTTGGTACGAAGAGAACAAGTGTCACACGACACCATCATCAGTGTCGCGCAACACCATCATTGCAGCCAGGTAAGTTCTCCG